TGATAGAGTTATTGGGCTAACTCTAATGTCCCAAGGCCTGGTTGGATCGCTCTCACCTCATATAGGAAACCTTTCCTTCCTCAAAAGTATCGTTCTTCAAAACAATAGCTTCCACGGCCCAATCCCACAAGAGATGGGTCGCTTGTTTCGGCTACAAAAATTAGAATTCAGCAACAATTCGTTTGGCGGTGGAATACCCAACAACCTTTCTCGCTGCTCAAAACTTGAATGGCTGAACTTGGTCGACAACAACCTAGCCGGAATCATCCCAGCCGAGTTGGGCTCTTTGTCATGGCTTGGAACTTTAGCCTTGAGTAAAAACAAGCTTTCAGGAACCATCCCTCCTTTCATTGGAAACCTCTCATCTCTTTCCATTCTCTCTTTATCAGAATGTAATTTGCATGGGAAGATTCCGGCGGAGCTTACTAGGCTTCAAGGCCTGATACGTGTCTGGTTAAGGGGGAATAACCTATCTGGCAAGGTTCCAGCTGGCCTTTACAATATCTCCACCATCATTTTGTTATCAGTAAGTGTTAACCTACTTGAAGGAAATATTCCTCTTGATATAGGCTCCACACTTCCTTATCTCAAGTTTCTTTATTTTTCGCAAAATTTGTTTACTGGAACACTTCCTACTTCACTGTCAAACGCTTCAGAACTTGAAGATATATTCTTCCCTGCAAATGATTTCAGCGGGACAATGCCGACAGATCTTGGAAAACTTCGGGGTCTTCGATGGATAGGTGTTTTCCAAAATCGGTTGCAAGATGACCTCACTTTTATTTCATCTCTAACAAATTGCACCAGTTTAGAATCTATTGATGCAGGTAACAATTCTTTTAGAGGTTCATTGCCTGACTCCATAGCAAATCTCTCCACATATCTTGGTGTTATAAGTTTGGAGATTAATCAAATACATGGAAGCATTCCTTCAGGCATTGGAAACCTCCTCAACCTCTCTGTCTTATCTATGGCAGCAAATAATCTTGCTGGCCCTATTCCATCCTCCATTGGCAGACTTTAAAATCTGCAAACTCTGTTATTAGACCAGAACAAATTCACAGAACTTTCATCTTCGCTTGGTAATTTGACTTCATTGATTACTCTCAACTTGGGAGAAAACAACGTCCCCAGAAGTATACCTCCAAGTTTGGGTAATTGTCATAGCCTGTTGGAATTAAACCTTTCTCAAAATAATCTCAATGGTTCAATACCCCCCTGAAATTATGATTCTCTCCTTCATTTTAAAATCCCTCTTGTTAGATCGCAATGCACTAACCGGTTCTCTTCCATCGAAAATTGGGTCTTTGAAAAATCTTGGATACATGGATGTATCCTATAATAAATTATCTGGATCCATTCCAAAACACTCTAAGGCCTCGTTTGGGAACAGGCTAATTTAGTAACTTTTTGGCTATTTGTCTAAAATATGAGATAAAAAAAGCTAGTATGTTTGGGATGACTTTTTGGCTTTTTACGAAAAGATGTGCAAAAAGTAGAGAGAAAAGAGAATCTTTGACTTTTTGGTATGGGTTGTTGGCTTTCTGATATTTTAGTAACTTTTTGGCTTTTTGGCTAAACGGGCTGGTTCCCAGACGAGGCCTAAGCAACTGTTTGAGTCTGCAATGGCTTTACTTGGAGGCCAATTCATTACATGGAGAGATACCTCAAAGTTTGAGAATGTTGAGGGGCTTAAGAGTGTTGGATCTTTCACAAAACAATTTGTCAGGGAAGATCCCAAGTTATCTAGGCGAGCTTCAACTAGATATGTTGAATTTATCTTTTAATAGGCTATATGGAGAACAAATCCCAAGTTATCTAGGTGAGCTTCAACTAGAAATGTTGAATTTGTCTTTCAATATGCTACATGGACAAGTTCCCATACAAGGAGTGTTTCGAAATTCAGGTGCAATTTCAATTGTTGGAAATTATGATCTATGTGGAGGTATTGCAAAATTAAACCTTCCTCCTTGTCCATCGTCCAAATCAAGCAACAAGAAGCTATCTCACAGGATGAAAGTGATCCTACTAGTGGTTGGTCTTGTGATATTTTTATCTTTGTTTGTTAGCTTCTTTATATTTCTTCAACGATGTCATCTTTCAAAAAAGAAGACCTCTAGCACGCCATCAATCAAACATCAATTTTTTTAGGGTTTCTTATGCAGAGCTTCTCAAAGCCACTAATGGATTCTCAAAGGCTAATCTAATTGGTGTTGGGAGCTATGCTTCAGTTTACAAAGGGATTCTTGATCAAGTTCAGATGGTTGCGGCAGTGAAAGTGCTCAATCTTCAGACCAGAGGAGCTTTTAAGAGCTTCATGTCAGAATGCAAGGCACTAAGAGCGATAAGGCACCGAAATCTATTGAAAATTTTGAGCGTTTGTTCCAGTGTGGATTTCCATGGTAATGAATTCAAAGCTTTGGTATATGAATTTATGGCCAATGGAAACTTGGGCAATTGGTTGCATCAAGATGAAGTTGGAGACCATGAGCAGCTAGAGGAACCTAGAAATCTTACACTAATCCAGAAGCTGGACATTTCCATGGATATTGCCTCCGCACTTGAGTATCTTCATTGTGGTTGTGAGTCGACAATTATTCATGGTGATCTAAAGCCAAGTAATGTTCTTTTGGATGATGAGATGACGAACCATATTGGAGATTTTGGGTTGGCAAAAATTATTTCTACCGTTTCAAGCGATATGGCACAAGGTCAAAGCAATTTAGTTGCAATAAGGGGAACCATAGGCTATGTTGCTCCAGATAGAAAATCTTTTCAATTTCCTTGGAGTAGAAAAACTGAACTTACAATAGGAAAAATATAATATATATATACACACACATGAACACATTTTGGCATAAACATACAAACCATGGCTTCTACAAAATAGTGGGCATCTACATAGTTTTAATCATTATTTTTATGCAGATTCCATGCCATTTATGAATGCTCGCAATGTGTGTTTCCACCTCCTCATTGTTAGCAAACCAAGTACTAAGTTTACTTTTGTTTAATGTGGTTGTTCTTAATCTTAATATAAATATTACCATTGAAGTGTACATCATTTGATGTAAACATTCTTAAACTTGGCTATGGAAAACTTGTGTTAATCCACTATGCCGCCTATATTATTTTTCTATTTTTTTTCTTATAAATATTCTTTATGTAATTTTAGTATGAAATTTTAGTCTGATCAAAATAGTCCGTGGTATCTACTAGTGGAAAGAATTAATATACTAGTTTGCTACCAAAGCATTTTTTAAAAACTTACTCATTGCTTGGAAACTTGTATAGTTGATTCTGATGGAATATCTCATGCAAGACTAATTTTTGTTTCCTTCAATAGAAAAATAAAATCAAACTATGTCATTCTCAACCATTGTCTCACTTAGTCAGTTGTAAACACAAACAAAAATATTATAACTGAGAGGGGGAAAAAATTAAGGACATCATTGCATTAAAAAGTTTGTTGAGTTTCATTAAAAAAATTATTAAATACATCTATTGAGATTACAACTATGCAAACTAACTAGACTCATTTTTCAGACTAACATTGGAAACAATTTGCAGAGTATGGCATGGGGGACATGGCTTCCACACTAGGGAATGTATATAGCTTTGGGATTCTTTTACTGGAGATGTTTACAGGTAAGAAACCAATTGACAATATGTTTAAGGATCATCTAAATCTTCATAACTTCGTTAAGAATGCATTGCCTGATCGAGTCATGGAGATTGTGAATCCTTGCATCCTATTGGAGCATAACACAAGAAGGTGGATTAAAGACTGCATGGTTTCGATTCTACAAATTGGGGTTGCATGTTCAATGGAATTGCCAAGAGATCGAATGGAAATGGGGAGTGTTATTAGTGAATTGCATAAGATAAAAAATACTTACATGAATGAAGGGTTGAACCAAGACTAAGAAGTTGGAAGAGGTTTTGCAATATGAAACCCAAAGGTGTGTAGCATACCCTCTTGACCTATGCATATGCATACTAAAATAGAAAATGCTATACCCAAAACAAATTTTTTTATTCGAATTTCTTAGCACTATACACAGAGGCATGAATTCTGCCTATATTTATTAATATGGCCCTCACCAAATTTGTGACAAGTGGTAAGAAAATCGGATGAGAAATTCGTGTATATATAACATTACTCTACCAAAATACATCGTTCTCTCTATTGAAGCATCTCAATTTCATTTTCTTTTTTTATTCTAATCAATTCATGTAGCAAATATGAGTTAGTAGATTAAAGGTTTTTTTTTTTTTTTGGGGGGGGGGGAGCTAATATTGGGATAAGTGAACTAAAGCATTTTTACTTTTTTGTTGATCAAGGTTACTTCCAAGGTCCTCCGTCAATGGTTACCTCAACAATATGCTACTTCAACAACCAGTAGAATACAAGTGGTAGCTTTATGTTATTGTTGCCTCAACAATCTTTAATCTATTGCTTGATAAGTAATTGTCACTTTCCTCCTTCAGTTAGATTGTATTATATCAAACATTTGTTCATGTGGGATGTTATGTTTCCAGCTAAGATTGTGTGCTTAGGATTACCAATATTCGTTCCTGTTAAATTAAAACTATCATTTCATTGTATCTTGATTTTTCCTTGAAATTGCATGTCCTTGTATCAAAAATTATTTGTTTTGTAGCTTTGTTTGACAATATTATAACTTGCCTTTTAGTCATGGTAACTCCGTGCAATATAGACTCATGCATTACTAGCACTAGCACTAGCATTATGTGTCCCACTAGGACATATATATATACATATATATATTTGACAGTTGAGCTATCATGTTATATAAGCTCTACATTGCATTGGAAACAAAGGAAAATATGTAAAAAAAAAAAAATAATCTTGATATGGGTGTTTTTGGAGATCTCAATTTAGCCAAATATGCCTTGTCATATACTACAAAGAATCAAAATTAAAAAATACATATGTTAGAAGAGACGCGTTACATAAAGAAATAAAAGATTATTGACTTGAGGGGCATAATTCCACCAGATGACTCCGTCTGACTCTAGTAACAAACAGACATAGCTTTGGAAGGTATATATGCATACCTTTGTGGCTCAACATAAAAAGCATCTAAGATACTGAAGTGATCAGATCCAACATCCTGTCGCTTGTTAATAGGTTCAGGAAAGTTGTCTTGACAACGCTAATGTTTCCTTCAACACATAAAATGAGACTTTTCTTAGCCATTGACTGCACATCAGAATTGGAATTGTCCTTTTAACTCTTCATCCACAATCTCTTTGATAAAAGTAGCAATATTCTCTCAGCATGGTTTCTGTGAATAATTCCCACTGAACTCTGCAAGAACTCCATCATCTTCTGATTGCAATTCCCAAACAATTGCAAGACATCAAATAAAATCCTTCTCAATATGGAATGTTTGAGGTTCATAGTTCGTATATTATAAAGTTTCATTCAATTTATATTGAAAAATGAAGTTGTTCTGAGTTTTGAAGTACAGTACTATTCACAATTCAGTTACTATAGCAATGACCATGCTCGAGGCGCAATTACAAAGTTCAGGAAGATCAATTGAATTCACTTCATCGTTCCTCATCCTTAATACAAGACAATAAGTTAACAATATATTTTTATAAAGAACACAACAAAAGTTAGATTCCAAGCACTATAAATCTACCACAATCAGTTGTCTCAAATTTATTATTATTATTTTTAATTTCAATTCATATAGTCCAATAGAAATAGTCCATCCACATTTGTCTATAGTATAGGGGGATAAAAGATAGTTTCTGTTAGGTTTTTATTCTTGGCAATCTCGTTTGAACAAAACTCCTTTCAGTTGTAATTTTATTCGCTCTTGTATTTCAGTAAGGATATGAGTCTTAGATGTGAATCCAACCCGAATTGTGTCTTGCAGAGAAGCTTGTGATGTTAATACTTTCAAGATTGCCACTTCGCTGATTATGACGGGGTTAAGGGGCAGCGCCACAGCGGGGTTGAGGGGCAGCGCCCCCGAAGCAAATTTTCTTGGGAGATAGATGTCTACATTTTGTTAGCACCGTGGAGAGGACACAGTGTTAAACACTGGACTTGATTAGAATATTGTTCAAGAAATTAATCAAGTAAGTTGTTAATTTTCTGTTTTATTTATTTAAATCAAATTTTGATTTTGTTTTTGTAACAAAATAAAATCTGTTTTTATTTATTTAATTTTATTTCTAGTTTGATTTTTGTAATCAAACATTCTCTCTCATTTCCTTTATTTCTTTTGTATTCTGTTTGTTGTTTAGTACACAAACATAATTTATTTTTTCAAATACAGTAAAGATTGTCCAACAAGATACTGAAGTGATTGGGTCCAACATCCTGCCACTTGTTAATAGGTTCAAGAAAGTTGTCTTGACAATTCCTTCAACCCAGAAAATGAGACTTTTCTTAGCCATTGGCTGTACATCAAAATTGAAACTGTCCTTTTAACTATTCATCCACAATCTCTTTGATAAAAGTAGCAATACTCTCTAAGCATGGTTTCTGTGAATAATTCCCACTAAACTCTGCAAGAACTCCACAATCTTCTAACTGCAATTCCCAAAAAACTGCAAGACATCAAAGAAAATCCTTCTCAATATGGAATTTTTGAGGTTCTTAGTTCATATATTATGAAGTTTCATTCAATTCATATTGAAAAATGAAGTTGTTCTGAGTTTTGAAGTACAGTACTATCGAAAATTCAGTGACTATAGCAATGACCATGCTTGGAATTTCCATTGAGGAAGTTTCTGGAAAATTGCAAAGGAGACTTTTGGAGGTTGGATTGGAAGAGGAAAAAAATAAAATGGAAAATTACAATGACCTCCCCCAATAAACGTACACACCATAAATAGCCCCAAGTTGTTGGAATATTACAATTATACCAATCTCTGTATATGTTTTTATACACTAAAGTTGGATATTTATTCAATAGTCTCGGAACACCACTCACCATGTGTCATTGCTTATATGGTCTTCAAACTAATTACCTAACTGAAAATTTTACACGACATAACTACTATTTTTGTTAAATAGTTGAGAGACAATGAATTACTCACTTACTATGGATTCCAATTTCTTATTTGCTGAGAGTAGCATGTAAGTTACGTCATATGATATTTTTGGACCATTCAATAGTTTTCTTTTGTAATCATGGTTCTAAATCGTGAAATCAGAATACGTAATCAATTGTGAAATATCAATTTTGGGAGTATTAGTCGATATGTATCAAAATCGATGTCATGATCGTGAAATTTTAAAAATCATTACAAGATGTAGACGGATGTAGCAATTCACCATAAAGGTTACTTTTTCATACATAATAGAAACAAGCCAATACACTCACCAAATTTGATCTCACCACAAGATTAGGTTGTATATGACTCGAATGTGTCAAAAGTCATTACGAACCCATCGTTACATAACATCTGATTTTTAAAGCAATACTTGTCGTAGCTAGCCTACCATTAGTAAATAAGATGAAATGTGACATCATATTTTGAATTAAAATATCAAAATTACCCTTCTTATTTTCAAACTAATTCCTTATATGAAGCGATCAAAAACACCATTTTTTTTTTTTTTTTTGGAGTATGGGTTTACCAAATTTTAATATCTCAACTTCATAGGTGCAATTGGCCTATTGTCAAACTAATTTGTACCAACGTCAATGATCTAAATTGTTTATCTAATATGATAAGTATGTATGCAAAAAATGAATTAATCAAACATAAATAATCACATGATCAAATTCCATATATTATAATAAATGGATAATTTATTCTTAAAAAACATATAGACTATATAAATAAAAATGATCTAATAGTGTGACAATCAATATTGATCTACTTAATTTTTTACATGAATAATTTTTTAATTAGTTTATAAAATAAAAAGTTTAGATCAGCAAAAGAAGTCCAAGTTAATCCGCTAATGAATCAAAAAATTGAGATTTTCATCCTTAATAAATCCCAACTCTTTCTTTTACCACAAACAATAATGAGACAAAAAAAAAATACGAAGGCCTTGTTTGGGAAGTTTGTTTAGGTTAAAATAGTCAATAAAGATATAATAGACTTAAATAGTCAATAAGACAAAACATCACATCCAAACCATAATAATTTTACTTTTTCACTCACAATCATCAAATCAACTACCAAAAAAAATATCAACTATCATCACAAACACAATTTTTTTATTCAGATTAAAATAGTCAAAAAATAGAAAAATCAACTAAAATAACGTGTTCCCAAGTTGGATTAAAGTAAATGGAGCCGCAATGGTAAAACTAAAAATCAAAAAGTAAGATTTATCTCTCATCCTGTCGTAGCATTCATTTCGATTACAACCTTATTCTTCTCTCACAGAGAGCCTCCAAAACTCCACTCTTTTCGGCAATTCTTATCTCACATCTTCGAGATTGTTTGGCCTTGTTTCTATCGACAACCTGACTTTGGGAAGTCCAGTTGGGCAAGCACAAGTTTGTCGCAGTTGAATTTAATTTCAATTTGAACAACTGAAATCTTATATTTTTAGGGGAAATTACAAAAAAAAATAAATAAATAAAATCCAAGGTTTCACGTGTTTTTTAAATTAAACCCTATAGTTTATATTTTGACAAATTAAACCATGGAGTTTCTTCTGTGTTTCAATGTGAACCCTCCGTCTACATCCATTTGATTGAACTAACGGAATTTGAGCAAAATTCTCAGATTCAAGCACATATGTTTAAATACTTGTATCTCCCTCGTCGTAACTCCGTTTCGCCTCATTTTTGCTTCGTTGGATTTAACCCATTGCCTAGTTTTCATTTCATCCCTCATACGCCTTGTTCCACCTTTTTTTGTGTGCCGTTGGAACTCCGAAAGTTGGTCAAAAATAAGATTTTTCTCTCTTTGG